CTTGTTAACCTATTTTCATTAACAATTTTATTTTTATATCTTCTTCTTCTTCTTCTGTAGATTATGATGCTGTTGTTGGATGTCGGTTTTTCTTTATGCGTCCTTCATTTGGCGTCGCACACTATATTTTAAATTGCAGCCAATAAACGGAGTCCATCTTCCCGATGTGGCGAGACACAGAGAGAGAGAGAGAGAGAGAGAGAGAGAAAGAGAGAGAGAAAGAGAGAGAGAGAGAGAGAGAGAGAGAGAGAGAGAGAGAGAGAGAGAGAGAGAGAGAGAGAGAGAGAGTGCGACACAAGAAAGAGATCGAGCGAGAGAGAGCGAGCGAGCGAGAGAGAGAGAGAGAGAGAGAGAGAGAGAGAGAGAGAGAGAGAGAGAGAGAGAGAGAGAGAGAGAGAGAGAGAGAGAGAGAGAGAGAGTCTTTACATTCTACAAAAAGTGCAGAGACCTTTTCACTACACCACAATTAGCTGAGTTGTTATCCCCCTTGCATCTGTGGAGGGCGTTATTTTTTTCTTTTCTTTGAGATTGAAGCTTCTCTAATTCCATTTGCACCCCCCCTCCCCCACATGCATACATGCACACCATATATACACATACTGTACACACCATACATACATACATATTATATATACGCACACACACTCACACACACACGTACCGTAATATATACATATACACCATGCGTACGTACAGCCATGCACACATACATACATACACACTCACATACACCCATACACATATACACTACACACACACACACACACACACACACACACACACACACACACACACACACAACACACACACACGCACACACACACACACACACATACACACACACACACACACATTCTAAAATGTAGGATGTTTTTACTCTCCCGTCGACACATCGCTCGCATTTCGATTTGTTAGAAGGCTGACTTCGTTCCTTTAAAGATCAACAGGCGCAAAGAGGGATGCAACGCCCCCTAAAGACCTATGCAGTTAATAAACGTTGTTCCCATAAGAGTCGAACTCAGGTTAGCTGCGTGAGGCAGCCAAGCGCTTTACTGCTTCACCAGGAAAGTTATTTTTCTTGGGGATACGGCATACAACTTTCAACATTCTTTTCAAACTTTGTTTCTCAATTTCATTAACTCTCCCCCTCTTTCTGTGTCCCTCTCTCTGTGTATGTCAAACTCTCTTTGTCTCTCTGTCTCTCCCTCTGTCTCTCTCTGTCTCTCTTTCTGTCTGTCTCTCTCTCTATTTCTCAGTCTCTCACTCTCTGTCCGTCTGTCCGTCCGTCTGTCTGTCTGTCTATCTGTCAGTCTCTTTGTCTCTCTATCCCTTTGTCTCTCTATCCCTCTCTCTGTCTCTCTTTCTCTTTGTCTCTCTCTCTCTCTCTCTCTCTCTCTCTCTCTCTCTCTCTCTCTCTGTCTCTCTCTCTCTTTCTCTCTATTTATGTCTACTTGTTTCTCTTTCTCTCTGTCTTTCTCTCTATTTCTCTGTCTCTCAATCTCTGTCGGTCTGTCCGTCTGTCTGTCTGTCTATCTCTTAGTCTCTCTCTCTCTCATTCAATCTCTCTCCTTCTTGCTCTCTCTCTCTCTCTCTCTCTCTCTCTCTCTCTCTCTCTCTCTCTCTCTCTTTCTCTCCTAAAGGGGGGATATTAACATGTTCTTATGCACAGTAGAATTGTCAATGGGCTGATTTATCAATGCCATGCTCAATCTGTGCCGTAACAATATAGGGGGAACTACTGCTTTTTCTGTCCTCACTTTCCTATCGTCATTTTTTCCTCAACTTGTTTTGTATGTTTGTCACTCTCTTGAGAACTGCTATTTCCGGGGTGCCTTGATATTCGAAGCTGACTTTGTGCTGTTGAGACTAGAAAGGTGAGCAGAGTAAGCCTGATTCCCCGTTTGGACTTCTCTGTTGACATCCACTCCTTGGCGCTCATATGACCTTATGCAGTTCCGACTGCCGGAAAACCTTACTAACGCAAAACAAATCCCACTCTCTCATTCTCTCTCCCTCTCTCTCTCATTCTCTCTCCCTCTCTCTCTCTCTCTCTCTCTCT